TACAATATGATGACATTCATCGTTGGGAATTTGTACCTTTACATGATGTATCTTGGATCTTATTTTTTTCTCCATTCCCCTGCCCTCCCTTCAACCCTCCTTCTCTCCCTATTTACAAAGACTTTGTTTCTGTTTTTTCCTTTTCTCATATTTATTTCTTACCCTTCTTTTGAGGACATAGCATCTAAGCTGTGAGAGAGCAGGCTTCCTACTGGTCACTGGTTTTGAAAAACAGGTTAGCAAATGTTCGAACTCAGGACCTTGCCCTTGCAAGGCAGGCACCAGAACCACTGAGCTAAATCCCCGTCACTCTTTTAGGATTTTGAAAGCAGAGGTCCTTCACATCAGCTTTACAAGGTGCTGGGTGTTTGTCTTATTTGTGTCAGGCACTAGAGGTTAGTGTGATGTCATAAAAATTTAAGGTTCTGACCTGAGAACCTGTAGGTCTATGCAATTCCCAGCATAGGACTTTGATCCTTTTTGAGGAACAGCAATATTCAAACAACTTGATTTGCATAACTTTATTGTTATTTAATTGTTCACTGGTTGTCCCAGCCAATTCTTTTTTTTTTTTTTTTTTTGGTATGGGGGATCGAACTTGGGTCCTTGTGCTTGCACAGCAGGCGGCAAAACCACTGAGCTAATCCCCGGCCCTTTATTTTTATTTTAAATGGTATATGCTCACCAAATTTAGAAAAAGAAAGCTATGAAATATGGAAAACAGCAAAGACTACCACTTACAATCATGCTGTGTACTCCTGCTGTTGGGGGTGCCTTTTCAGTCTCTCATTCTCCCTTGACTTACAGAAAAATACATATAATTTAAAATGGTACATGGAACAATACTCTACTTGCTGTTTCTAGAATAGTATTGTTACAGGCTGAGCAGAAATCTTGCCCCTTGATGGTAAAAATGGTGCTTACGAGTACGAGCATCCTAGTTTCTAAAACCGAACTTCTCCATTCACTACATGATTTTGGGTAAGAGACTTAATCGGCTCTATGTGCCTCAGTTTCTTCATATGCAATATGGGGATGATAACATTACCTGCCCCAAAGAGTTGGTATAATGTTATATCAGATCATAGATCTGCATACCTAAGATAATACATGGGGCATAGTAACTAGGTGCTACACACATGAAAAAAAAATTAAATATTAAAGTGGAATATTTCTTCATATAGTTTTTATCATATTTCATAACCATAGTTTTAACATAAATTATTACTGTTTCTGTATATAACTATGTATATACTTTCTCTGAACCTGGAATTTGCATGTAGCAAATACTTTGCGCTTGTTGAGTGATGTATCTGAAGACTGCAACAGAGATTAGCTACCTTTCTGTGAAGGCCTGTTAAGTACTGTCCTGTGAGCTGGATGATTCACACCTGTAATCGCAGCATTCTGGGAGGCTGAGGCAACCCTGTGAGACCCTGTCTTAAAATTTAAAACATTTAAACAGGGCTGGGGACGTAGCTCAGTGCAAAGGCTCTGAGTTCAATTCTTGGTACCACCAAAATAAAAATAAAAAAGAACTACCCTGTGAACACAAGATGCCTTTAAGTGAGACAGTTTTACACAGGATACCTTTATAAGACATTAGTCCAACTACAACTGTTTGTTAATTATTAAACCTTAGTGCACTCTCTGTATACCTGACACTGCAGATTGGGAGCAGTGTGTTTTCTTCTCAAGTTAAGCCTGCAAATTGCTAAAGAAATGTAGTTATCAAGGAATTAAAATACGCCACACCATTTCTCTTGTATTTAGTGACAAGAGTAGAATGTCTGCTGTTTTGGCTGGGATGTCTACAGTCTAAACAATTGATTTCAATCTCATTTGGGCTTTCTAGCTGCTTGTTTTAGCATGGCGGAGATCGGCATTCACAGACTCCTTCTTTTTGTTATTTCTCTGACAGAGTATCTGGAGGGTACAAAACTGCTGGCAGACCTTAAAAAATGTGGTGACCTGGAATGTGAAAGTAAGTTTGCTTTTGTTCTCCTTTTTCTCCTCTTAAATAGAACCTCTGAAATCACCTAAAATGTTATTATGGACATGCGTGATAAAAAGGAAGATTCATATTATTGAGAAATATTTGAATTGTAAAGTATACTCTATAAAAAAGAAATTCTGGAAGCAGAACATCTCGTGGTATTTGATGTAAATATACAAAGATCAGATTGATATAGAAATATATTAGAAGTTATAATGATATTAATCCATACCTCACAAGTTAATTGGCCCTCCTATTATTTTTTTTTTTTACCGGGGATCGAACTTGGGACCTTGCGCTTTCGAGGCAGGCACCGGGACCACTGAGCTAAATCCCTGGCCCTCTTCTACTATTTTTTAAGAATAAATATAATTAATATGTATAAGAAAGATAACAGGCCATATGACAGTCCTTTATCTTGTACTTTTAATTTCTATTTCATAATCAAGACT